CTTTTCTATTAATTCGTACTCAGCCCTGTGTGTTAGCTGTTATCTCTGGTTTCCATGTTCATCAGTCCACCCAGTCCTTCCCTCCATCTGAGTCTGGGCTCCCTTTGGCGTAAGAGGTCAGTGGGTGATGGTGGCGATGTCCCTTTGCTGGAATTCCCTTTTGTCTCGATGTCCCTTTGCTGGAATTCCCTTTGTTGTCCGACTGCTGTTCCCTTTGGTCTCGATGTCCCTCTGCTGGAATTCCCTTTGGTCTCGATGTCCCTCTGCTGGAACTCCCTTTGGTCTCGATGTCCCTCTGCTGGAATTCCCTTTCCCCAGGGGCGGCTCAGCCCTGCTGCCCGCACTCCCGGTGGCTCCCGCCCAGACAGCCCATTCATCTTGGTATTGTCCTCCCTTTTCCTTAAAACAAAAGATTAGCCAAGCGTGCAGGGTTCACAATGAGATTGCTTAATCATAACGGTCCRGCTACAGCTACTGATTAACAGCTGAGAAAACCCAGCGAAGTTTGATTGAGATCTTGAGGGGCTCGATATCACCGTCACATGGCATCTCCACGGGGTCCCTGTGTTCGCCTGTTCCTAAAGCCCCCCGGAGGGGGAACGAAATTTGGGTCCAAACGATTTGCCTGCAAGGTCCCAAACTCCTGTGTTCCTAGTGGGAGGCCTTACGGACCACAGAGGGGGAGGTTTGCTGGATAAATAACACAGGAGACACATCCTGGCCTTCAGTTGGGGTGTTTTGGGGGGGTTATTTCCCAGCAGTTGTACATCAGAGGTCAGTGGGTTTCCCAGCCGTGTCGGTCACTGCTCTGCTATGAACTCTTACAGCGAGAACTCAGCGTCTCAAATATTGAGGGTCTTAATTTTTGGGGTCTAACCTGTCCCCCTGCCTCCACCCCAAGCTGTGGCAGGCTTAATTTTTGGGGTCTAACCTGTCCCCCTGCCTCCACCCCAAGCTTGTGCCACAGCCCAAGTTTTTGCTGCTGCTGAGCTTGGTTTTGCTGTGTGATCACATAACCATCCCCTTTGGAACCTCCCAGGCTGTAGTATCAAATTTAATCTCCTTGTGATCTTYTCAAAGCTGTTCACCTGCCTTTGTCCCTCTCCTGCTCTCCTCCYGTATCAAAGGCGGGGTTGTTTCTGCCCTCCCTGCTCTGCCTTTGTTTTCAGCGTGTCTGTCCTTTGGCTTCCTTTCATCCCTACCCCAGCCCCATTCAGGCTGCTTCTAAAACACTCTTTTCACGGGGAATCAAGTGAACTTCAATAGGCATTGATCAAAAAATGGCAGTTTCCGTTCTTTCTCTAAACCTGATTTTTATGACCACGCCAGTGTTCCAAGTCCTGTAAAAGAGGGATCATGGTAAGTGTGGAGGGACTGGCACAGCTTATGCAGCTGATTACTATTAAATACTACATATTTATATAAAATATGTAATATTTTATATACTATTAAATAGATGTATTTACTTGGCTATGGTGTCTAGTAATAGAGGTGTAATTTCCCCAACTATTTTATGAAATTGGATTTAGTGTGAATATAACCACTCTACATACTTCCTTAAAATTTAGTCTTGCTCTTCCTTCTATCAACAGACAACAAAGTTCACAAATCCTTTGGATATACCTGTGGAGTTCGTAGAAAAGAATGTGAAATTGAGAGGGAAATTACATCACATCACGGAGAAGGGCCTGGAAGTTGAGCACATTCCCATCAGCATTCCTTTCATCACAGCCATCCAGAGAAAATGTGAGTAATGAAGAGAAGAGTGTGAAGAGCAAGGGCAGAAATGAAATGTGCTGCTCTTAGAGTGGCTGCAAGCTTGAGAGGAAGGGCTGAGGCACATTTCCAGCTCTGCCTTTTGGTCTTTCTGTGCTTTACGGGTGGGAAACTGGGGAATAAAAGACATGAGGAGACCTGTACTGTTTATATTGATCATTGTACTTACTGTGACATTTTCCAGCAGCAGAAGTGAGCACTCGGGCAGTGCAGCTTCTGCTTGCACAGCTCATGTCATTCCTGGCAGAAAGCCTCTGTTGGGATTGTGCTTTTATTTGCAGACACCCATTATTAGGGACAGTTTTGCTGTTGGAAGGAAACTGTCCATCGAGTCTGTGAYTCTCACACTGGCTTTGCAAACACCAGCAGGTGCTGATGCTTCCGCCTTTGGATAAAGGATTGTGACTGACAGTGGGAGCAGGTCTTTTACTTTCCATGCAAAATAAACTAAAATTATTTTGAATTAGGCAACCTTGAATTTTTTTTTTTCCTGAAGAAGAGATGAGACCAAATTTCYTGTTTGCTTTGAGGACCAAAAGGAATTCTTTCAGTCCATGGGAAGCAATTCATTACTAAGAGCTGAGGGTCTGTGCAAAGCCTGAGCTTTCCCCCAGTCCCAGATTTCTCCTTTTCCCTTGCAGGGCAGCCAGACGGGCTCCTGCTGCTCCGCCTGGCCGGGGTGGAGCTGGCTCCGGGTGGCACGGCCTGGCTGCAGCGGGAGCTGCCCCCCAAACAGCCCCTGTGGTTCCAGCTGCTGGCCAGGGACAGCTCAGCCCTCGAGTGCCTTGTTTTCGTCAATAAGGTAAAGAGAGACACAAAAACTGGCTCTTATCTGCAGTTTTAAATGTGACTGTAGTCACACACTTATCTCAGTACATTTAACAAATGTTGTTATTTATGATTTATCTTGCTTGGTATGAATTTTAAATGTTGCATTTGCAAATCTAATTGCAGGAGCAGTAGTTTTTCAGACTGATTCATGACAGGAATATGTTTGTCTGCCAGTGCCAAAAACACATCCTGTAGTTCTGATTAGCTTAATGTTTGGGTAATCCAATGTTCTCTCACAAATTCCCTGCTTTGTAGAATCACARAATGTTTTGGGTTGAAGGGACATCAAAGCCCATCTTGTTCCATCCSCCTGGATGTTCCWGTGTCAGGGACACCTTCCATTGTCCCAGGGCACTCTAAGCCCTGTYCAAACTGGCCTTGGGCACTGCCAGGGATCCAGGGGCAGCCACAGCTTCTCTGGCACCCTGTGCCAGGGTCTCCCCACCCTCAGAGTTGAATTTTAAGTCACCTGAATTCCTCTTCAATTTTAACATTTTCTGCCGGAGTCCCGATTTAGCCATGAGTAAAGCTTGTGCCTCTGAGGGAGTTCACACCAAACCCCCAGTAACCCTTTTTTAATGGTGAATATCTATTTATTGTTTTTTTTTATAGGGTGGATTTCTCAGCGTGTGCTTGAACGAAGAGCTCTTGAAACAAGGGCTGGGCAGAGCAGCRCGGGTTGAGGGGCTGCCCCACCACTCCCGCCTCTACTGGAAACTGCACAAAAGGCTCCTCCGCGCTGAGTTAAAGGCTGTGAAGAAAAATAAAGGCATATGGAAAGAGCAGAGCTACTCTGAAAGAATCCAGGATCACATAAGCAGCAATAAATTCCTGCAGAGGCTGAAAGAGTTTGTGAGCTGGGTTAGAAGCTCCAGTGAGAGGTAAAAAGTGGGGAATGCAGTTCCCCAAGGTGTGGGATTTGTGTGTTGTGATCACAAAAGTGCTGTGATGTTGAGGGTCCCTGTCCTGAACACAAACCCCAYAGTTCATGGGTTACATGGAACATAAACCCCACAGTTCAYGGGTTATATGGAATATAAACCTCACAGTTCATGGGTTACATGSAAYATAAACCCCACAGTTCAYGGRTTATATGGAATATAAACCYCACAGTTCATGGGTTATATGGAACATAAACCCCACAGTTCATGGGTTATATAGAATATATCCCATACCACAACCCAGATGGGATTGAAGTTTAGTAGCAGCATGCAGGCCACCAATGAAAATGTTCTGATGCCAAAGTTTTCCACAGTGATGTCCTGAATTAGTTGTCCAGCTTCCCACCTGCTAAAYCCCTCCAACCTGTGCTGCCCAGGCAGGGAAGCAGGGCCAGTGCAGGTTTGGGGTGCAGTGTCACTTCACACCTCTGTAATGTGCCATGGCTGCTGTGCACACACTGGACAGAAACCCCATTTCAGGCCTTTACAAAGCATGTGAGATGTGTTTAAACACGAACTTTTTGTCTGAATTCTGTTCTTATGCTACTTTTTTGTATAATTTTGTGGTTTAAAACTCATTCATCTTGAATAATGGGTTGCATTGTTAGTGATATAAAAGGTGATTTGTTATGCCTGATCTTATAAAGCTGATAAGGCCACAACAATTGAAGTTCCTCAGGGACAAAATTAATTTGGTATATCAAAGAATATAGGTGTCAGGAATCCAAATTTTTAGAAGACAACTTTAACTTGAAGAAGAAAAAAAACAATATTTTGTTTCTTTTTTATAGTTCTGTAAGTATATAAAATTAGATTAATATAAAACTTTAACATGGAATTTGAAAAGGAGGATTGGACTGTGCTAAGAACTTAAATTCTTGCCTATTTTTTTATACACTTGTGAAGCATGTATTTCTATTTATGTTGTAAATATTCTCAGAATAAAGATTGAATTTTTTAAGTTCATTGTTAAGTGTTTTATACACCAAGCCTTTGACCCTTGTTTAACCTCCCACARTCCCAATATTTATTTAAAGTGAAGTGTTTTACAGATTTACTTTCTTTCTGTGTGATTGCTTTCCAGTGAAACACTGGGGAGAGGAGTGTGGTAYAAAAAAACCTTAATAATTGAGCACTGCTTGTCTGACAATTAGTTGCGACATCAGCATTTTCTCTGCTGACTTCAGGGCAAAACTGACTTCTGAGATCCTAAAAAAAAGCCGTTTCCTTGGGTAAGAATGGATGTTAGTGGTTCTTTACTCCTTTTGTTGCTGGTCCTCCCCGGGTGAGGCTGGAGTTAGGGAGCAGTGAGSCATGAAATACCTGCAGTGCGTGGAACCCAGTGTGGGGGAGAGGGGAGCCAGCTCTGGGGCAGCAAACCAGGTGTTTGTGCTTGTTTCAAAATGACAAATAAAAAAAGTGAGATTCTGGGTTTATGTGTAAGACAGTGAGGGGCTGGACCAACCAACACAGTGGTAYTTGGACGTGAAAGTCATCAGACAGTCATGGATTTGGGATCCCCGTGGCACCCTCTGACAGGAAAGCTGAGTTTTAACCCCAAAGTACACATTCAGGCTCGGCAATAATCCACTTCTCGTGGGGGTTTATGGGTGTTCCAGTTCCTGTGTCTGGGAAACAGGAGTTTTTCCAAGCCGGGCATAATTGTATGCTTATGATTTATTTTCTGTAATAATTAAATATAATTCTGGACTTCGCACTTCTGTTCTGTAGATGACTCACAGGAGGATTTATCACAAAAATCCACTCTAAAGCTGAGAGAAAAGTCTCAGGAAGCCACATGCTACATTTCTAGCAAGCAGAGGTGAGGTGTGGGCGAATGTGAACCCAGTGTGTTGTTCCCTCAYATGGATTTGGGCTTGCAGTGACAAATGATTTCTCGAGGGTCAGGTCCTGTAATTGTTTGTTAATGCTGTTTTCCTTATCACGCAGGGCTTATCTTTGAAAAAAAACCAACCCACCAGCACACCCTCCCCCCTCAGAAAAAGCCCAATTCAGTTCAAAGCTGTGCTTTCCATCTGTGCAGGGCTTGAGAGGTTGCAGATCCTGTCTCTGTGGGAGGCCTGGCTATTGGAAAAGCAGTAATAGGAGCAGAGACAAATATCTGCAGAACCCGCCTGAGCTGACTGGGGGCTGGGGGAGAAGCAGCATTTTGTCCACCGCATAAAACCATCACGCTGCCTCTCAGCAGCTCCATCCCTCCCTTCATCCCCAGCAAAGCCCAGCAGAAGATTTTCACCAGAGAGGAGGCAGATCTGTGTTTGGAAAYAAGGATAAAAATTAAACTGTTGAGCTCTTGTGCCTTTGTTCCTGCAACTCTTGTCTATGCCGGGAGCRATGCAACATCTTCAAAAGATCACAGGGAGTGAAAGGAGAGACCCAGCCTCCAAATGGCCCAAGAAAAATACCTTCGGTGGCGCACAGACTTTTTATTGCTGGTGTGGCATGTCAGGCAAATGGCAATAAACATCCCCGGCCCCTCGGAGCCCACCGCAGCGCGGGCACGGGGCTGTTGCTTGTGTGCTTTGGKAACAAACTTCCGAGCAGGTTTTTGTGATAGGAGAAAGGCGAACGGCTTTAACTGAAAGGAGATCGGTATAGATCGGATTTAAGAAAGACKTGTTTCACTCAAAGGGTGGGGAGGCCCTGGCACAGGGTGCCCAGAGMAGCTGTGGCTGCCCCTGGATCCCTGGCAGTGCCCAGGGCCAGGTTGTTCGGGGCTTGGAGCGGYCTGGGACAGTGGAAGGTGTCCCTGCCAGGGCAGGGGTGGGACGGGACGGGAGGGCCGGGGGTCTCCATGGCACCCGCCGGGCGAGGGGCCGCCCCGAGGGGCTCCGCCGCGCTCCTCCGCTTCTGCCTCTGCTCCCAGCGGCTCTCACCGGCACCGCTCCCCACGGTTCGACCCGGGCAGCTCGGTGAGCCCCGCCGGGAGGAGACTGCCGGGGCGGGCGGGGGTCGGTCCCGGGCGGCGCTGAGGGGAGCGGGGCGGGCCGGCGCTGAGGGCAGCGACCCTGCCTAAAACCCC